TCCGCTACAAATATTCTACAGAACAACGCATTACAATGCACAAACGCCACCTAGTGAGGAAAAAATCTTATTAACAATTTACTTCGCAAAAAGTATTTGGTTTTCTTCAATATCTCGGTTTTATTGCAGTTTACTAAAAAAATGCAAGAGATAACTTTTTTTCTAATTGAAATTTACAGTACAAAACAGCTCCAGTTCGGTATTTGTGGTTTATGGAAAATGACCACAGTCACAATGTTTTGGATCGCCGTCGCCTGGGCTATATTCCAATCACTTCAAATTCTGTTGACAACAAAAAACCAACTACCAAAGCCTCCTTGAAACTCTGTTCTTTTTTTTTTGTTTTCACCAATGTTGATGTTCCCACACGCCGATCGAACGGTCCTTTTCTGTGCGAATTGTACGTAATCAAGCCGATTTCACGGTGCCACCAGATAAACCGACAATTCCTAGCACTTTCAACATTGTATGATAAAACCGTTGACCTTGGATAACGGTATACACGCTTAGCCTTGCTAAAAATAAACAAAATCGCGAGCTTTACGAGCCAGCCGTAAAATTGGACTATTAACGCTGGATCCAGTATCATTCTTGGTAGTGTGTCGATGATAATTTCGACGCTAGAATTGAATTTTCAATTCACCGAACCCGACTTTTGGCCCCATACGAAAAACTTGTTTACAATTCCCTTGGAATTTGTTTGTGATTTAATTTGTTATTCAGAATTTGTTTACGGCTCGTTTATAGTCCGAATTATTACTTCGTTCTCCTCCTCTTAATTATATTTTCCGCTTTGACGCAAATCAAGTACTGGGAAAGGTAAATAACGTGTGTACAACGGCGCTTCTTTCCATTAAAATTCCATGGCGACACGTTTTTAAGACGTGGTTTGCCCAGATTATAGCAATGGTAAATAGTTTATTTGAGGATTACGTGTTCGAAATATCGCGAATTGTGCAGCGTTGGGTAATTAAAATTGAAATATATGCAACGTATCTTGTTGCAAGGTTTAGAGAAAGTCGTTGCCGGTAAATGTTGAGCATTTCCTAAAATAGGAACCTGTAATATTGGACAATTCCGACAAATCGTCGTCCACGTGATAAAAAATGTGTTACTTTCGTTATTGTTCACAATTTGTGCAAAAGGAAGGCATCCGGACATTATTTTGGCATTTATTAGTTTAATAAAATTCTTAAATATATTTCCTTATAAATTTTACGTCTCCGTATATCTAGATTGTTCTGATTTGGTATCCAGAGAAGCAAAATGATTAGAAGAAAAAGGAAGTTGTTTATAACATAACATAACAGCCACTGTATGTTTTGAAATAATCATGCTTTGTTAAATAGTTATGCTGGAGATGCTGACAAAAAGATATCGGTTATGGCGATGATTTAAAAAGTAAGCGAGTATCAATATTGTCAAGTTTCATCACAACGTGATAACAGCGCTTAACCTAACGCTACACAGCTGATGTATACCATATGTGAACGCGGCAGACGTGTCCTACGGAAAAAATGTAAACAACTATTATTGTAAAACGGTTACTAAATTTCAAGACAATTGTTTTCCAGTTTTTAAATAAATAAAATAAAATGTATTGATTTTGTAGTGTTTGTGCTTAAATTTTATCTCGAATTTTAGTAATTGTGAATATCTTCAAATTATGAATTTGAAAAATATGTAATTAAAATACCCAAAGATTCACGTCATCCAAATAATCGTACGTATTAAAAATAATTTACTTACTTCCTAAAAAGCTAATTCAGTAATTTGAGTACAATTTTCGCGCACTCGTTGGAAAACACCTCAAGAAAAGGAAATAGTGGTACGCAAAAAACACTCAGACACGGTCCAATTCCAGATACCAACTGAATTGCGTATTGCTGGACAGTTTAGTACCTCGTGTTTAACCATCGCGCCGTTGTCGCATTGCTCTAAATGAATTTTATAGAATTTTAAATTTATTACAACGCTAATTATTTTTTAGAATTAAGCATAAATACGTTCCAAAAAGTGATAAACATTGTATTTTATGATATTCTATCCACGCAGTTATGTCAATATTCCCTTAATTAATCGAACTTTTGTACGTCAAGTTGGAGATTTTAATAATTTTTTTTTCGGAAATGGAGTTTAGGTTTTTTTTGTTTATTTTAATGTATTCTATTTTCTATCCTGGCTAACACCCTGTAATTTTTTATGATAATTTGTATTCAAAAAACGCAATTTTTAGTTTTTTGCTTATAAAACCTAAACTAACGAAGGAATCTGAATGCTGTAAAGAGACAATTTGTAGAGAATCGAAATATGAATAAAACGAGAGCTCGATCGATCCGATCGGGTAATTAGGAACGAAGAAAATCCGGAAAAATCGGAAAATTTAGCGTTTTTCTTTAAATTCATTACTCTCCCATTTTTTAAGTTGTACAGCTGATTTTGTGCATAAAAGTAGTGAATTACATGTACTTTAAGTGTGCACAAAGCAGGTGCTGTCAGACCATTAGTTTTGGCACAATTGCAATTTGAATTTTCCGATAAAATGATGCGAAATAAGTCAAAAATTCTTCCAAACTTGCTCAAAAACGGCCGTACGCGCGTACTGGGGGAAGATCGGGAGATGAGGGGCAATGGATATGTAGGTATATAATTTTGAATATTGTTAGTCTCATTTTGTTCGTATTTCGATTTTCTACAAATTGTCTCTTTGTAGCATTCAGATTGCTTCGTTAGTTTAGCTTTTATAATCAAAAAAATTTAAAAAAATGCGTTTTTTCCGTAAAAATGTTTATAAAAAAGTAGTTAATGGTAAATTGGAGTAGGAAACATATACAGGGTGTTTCAGAAAGACCTCCAGTAAATTCAGGGGGTGATAGTACGACAAAAAAATAAGAATTCTTTGTCTTATGAACTATATGTCTATCTCCTCTTGTTTTCGAGATGCAGAGCGACAAATTAAAATTTTTTAAATAGAATTTTTACGAAAATTTCCAAACGGTGCCAAATATTTTTATGAAATTTGGTATCCCGGGGTTTTTAAGGACGCCAAATACGCTGGTCGAATTATTTTTTGGTTATTTCATAGAGAGCACTAGTTACGCTACATTCCTATTACATTTTAGGTTCTAATTTTTTTAAGGTTAGGTTTTTCCATTCGGGCTCTAATTTCTAATGTACAATTTTATTTTCTAAAAATAATGTATTCTTGTTAGAACTTCCTAATGTGGACGGTGTTCGAGAAAAAAGGCTTTAATTGAACTGTTTCAAAATATTTTATTTTGTCGCTTTGTATCTCGAAAATAAGAGGAGATAAGAGATATAGTTCATAAGACAAACAATTCTTATTTTTTGTCGTACTATCACCCCCTGAGGGAGGTCTTTCTGAAACACCCTGTATAAGCAGATAGTTTGCCACTAGTATTTTTGTCACAAAATCACTGATTTAATGCTCTATCGATTCGCCTATTCGCGAACTTGAAATATAAATCTACCTGGAAAACCTAGAAATGTCACAGATTTTTTTTTTTGTAAAAATTACCCTGCGAACACCTACATTTGTAAGAATTTTTTAGGTATCTCATTTTGTGTTTCATTACAGGTTTCATCCAAGGACATTTAAATAAAGGGGACTATCCATGTCACAGTCTATCTCATATGTTGGGTGAAGCTAGACAAGGGGAAAGCAGAGGGCTTTATTTTCATCCAACTGATGCGCACGATTACATCTCCAATGTCGTACATTTTGAATGGGTCAAAATAAAATATTTTATAGTCCCAAGTCAATATATTTCAACAGCTACTCAGTATTTTTATAATAAATATATATAATATTTTTATAACTTCTTGGAATCCCAATAACTGTAACCATTTCTTTCTTGTTGCACCATCCCCAAGCATCCTAAAAACGTTCACATTTCACTTTTAGAATACTGAGGCAAATTTTCAGTGAGACATAAAAATATATTCCCAAAGGAGAACATCAAATGGTTGAATGAATGCAACTTTCAGTTGATTGCATCTTCGGTATTTTTATGTATAAGTGAACCACCACCATATTTTTGCTGTTGTATTTATTCAGTTTTTATGCTCGTGCATTTAGTAAAATTGTAAATATATTTTTGAAAAGGTTTTTGTCGTAGAGGAAAATGAAAATGATGAATGATTAAAATTTGTAATGTTGGGTATAAGGGATAACATTGAAATACCTATAAATATATTAAATATAAATAATGTCTGTAACTTATTTGTGGTGCAGCATTTTCCTTTGATTTTAATGGCCAAACGTGGTTCATATTATTGTTTTCTTACTATTTCAGCAAAAATTTTAAAAAAATACCAAGTCAGTTTTATAAAATTTTACCGTTATTCAAATAAAAGTTACCCACACGCACGACAATGGCCACAGTTGCATATACATTCCAAAGTCACCTTCAAGCACGCTTACCTGTGGAAGGATAGCTGATGTGGATGTTTATAATCCAATTTCTTACAAATTCTGCACTGTCTAACCATATTCACACCTTAAAAGTTTATCCAAAATACATGTATAAACACTAATCACGTTTCACTTACTAAAATCACAACTATTTTCTAACAAGAGACGCCATATTCTGCCAACCACGGCAGAACGAACGAGGAACACGCTACAAATTATTGCGTAGTTGCCAAGTCTTCAAACATGGCAAATATGAAAAATGAAAAATAGTTTAATATGTACAGAATTTAACAATATTGTATGCATAACTTAATAATACTATCCTATAATAATAATTTTCACAATTGTGATGAAAATTGCGATAAAAATATTAAGTACATTTCCAGTATAATTATACAGCTGACAACAATGATACAATTAGACTGTGAATAGACCAGGCTTCATCTAGAAATGTAAATAAATAAGTCCCCTTTATTTAAATGTCCTTGGTTTCATCCATTTTTAATAAGTATACCTTGTATGTGGGTGAAACCATGGAGGAATTAATCGACCCAATTTTTTCCAGATTACGTAGCCGGTGGGGAACTGTTCACCCATTTATACCAAAGAGACCACTTCACAGAAGACGAAGTTCGAATTTATATAGGAGAAATAATATTAGCCCTGGAACATCTACATGCGGTAAGTATCCGTTCATTTTTTTTTTACCGTTATTCACAGAAAATTGCTAGTCGATGAAAAAATCGGTTTAGCTACACAGATTACAGACACATATTAACGATTAAATATAATGTAGGTAGAGTTGTTTTAAAATCTTATGAGCTTTGACCTTCATATGCGCAGAAACATAATTCCGACCGTCGCCTAAATTATTCTACGTCCTAAAAACATTACACCTATTATTCACAGTCTCTCTCGAGCTCTAGCGTAAACAAGCCTTTGATCCGATTACTAATATCATAATAAAATGCCCTATTCTATATTATTTTAATTTAAGCAATAAAAATATATATAACGAACGTTCGCCAGTTGACTTTATTGATGCCCGAGCGCCTTAGTTCATGTCTACTTGTAATGATGCACATGGTCTAGTTCTGAGTCAATGTTTTCACAACGTGCTTATTAGAAGAATTATGGGGATACGCCACGCCTTTCGCGCATTTCGCGGCTCACGAGATATTAAAGAATCTCTACTTAAATTATTGCAAGTAAGACAGTAATAATTAGACCACAAAGTGTTGGTAACAGTCAACGAAACGATCTTATCAGAAATCGTGACTTTAGTTTTTTTTTTTGGGGCACCGCCCGCTTTTTTTCGGAAAACGGTTTTTTATATCCGCGCGCCAAATAAAACCATGGCGATTATGTGCCAAGTTCACAGCACGCGCTTGCCAGGGAACCCGGGGGTCAACGGAAGTGGAAGGAGCTAACGGCCGGGTCTCATTGTTTTTTTCTTTTCTTAATTCGAGGTGGCCGTGACTCCACCTTGCCGGACAAACGGTTCACTTGTTTCGAGGCGCGCAATTATCGCGCCGACCGCGATTTATGAATTATTTTCGAGCCCCGCGTCCTAAAAATGACATTGCATTGTTACATGTGTGCTACTAGATTGCTAGGCAGGACCCGCATGTGAGGCTGCGCAGCCTACGTAGGATCGCTCGAAACGGAAAAAGTGCAAAACAAATTCCAATCAAAATAAATAGCGGATTTCGGGGGAATAACGTCGGTGGTACTTTATTAAGTTGTTTTTGATGTGCCACTTGTTTTGGCTCGGGATGTTTACGGAGAGATACTTATTGATAAACAAATTGCGCGCTTATTTTGGGCTTTGTTGTGGATAAACGTGTGCAAGGTTTCGAAAACTCGTTTTAATGTTGCACAATGTGCTGCAAAGGAACTTCAAAGCGGTGATTCTGCAGGGACGCGGAAAATCATTTACCAAAATGATGAGGTTGTTGTCGTATTTACAGTCTTTGGGTTTAATTCTGTGAATTTACATGTGGAACAAAAAGGGTCTCCAAAAAGTATTTTTCGCGAAGTAAAATGTTGTAAACATTTTTTCCTCGCCATTGTGACGTTTGTGGATTTTAATGTGTCGTTCTATAACATTGCATTCAATAAATGTCCCAGGAAACAAATCCACCAGGATGGCTTCGACTTTTATTCGCTCCAATAATCAAATTGCACTAATCCCATTCCGCATGATCGCAACCTATGGCGCGGCTCTGTGTACCTAGATATTAATAACTTGTTTTTACTTTTGTTTATCTCGGGCAAAATATAGTCGACCTTGAGAGACATGTTTTTGAGGCTATTATACCGCATTGTGCGCCGATATCGGACAAAGACCATTGTTTTTCGAGGTTTTGCCTGGTTTTCGACGATAACTTCTAAGGAAATAGGAATTTGTTTTTTAAAACAAAGTCATATTCGCTCATACGAAATGTTGGTTTGCAATTCCATTGAGTGCAAACCATGAATTTTCTATGTTCTATCATCCTCAATGTAGTTTAATGACATATCTGGAAAACAAATTACTTTACTTTTATTTTGTGTCCACAGATGCTTCACAAACTTAATTACTTTACGTCTGCTATAATCAGTAATTGTGACGTAAAAGCGGATGTGAGATAATTGAGGACGTAAAATAATATGACATCCAGAAGGTGACACTAAGTCAAAGATCAACAAATCGAAGCCAAATTATAATATCTCAGGCAAATATATTAGAAAAAATAAAAAATGCGGCCAAAACCTAGATCTGGTCCGAAACATTTTCAAAATTGCAAAAATGTTTAAAAAAATTTAAAAATACCTGTTTTATATGAATTTTTTACTTATATCCATAGGTTCCAAACCTATGCATTTTGGAAGAATATTGAAGAGGAACAAAGTTTTAGAATTGAATTTTGCACAATATGCTGTAAGTTAAAAATGTTTAAATTTATTACCGATGTTGCAAAATAGCAATAATTGATGAAAAAATGGCAAAAAAAAATAATTTTTTTCATAATTTTTTAAAATGTTTTAGTTGCTCCAAGGGCGTTCTAATTTTGGTAAAAAACTTTATAGTATAATAAAACAACACACCAAATTTCATTAAAATCGGTTCGATAGTTTTCGCAAAATAATTTTTTGAAAAAAAATTTTAAAAGTAATTTCGAATTTTCAAAATTTTGCACAGCCTCAAATAAAGCATCTTAGATACTTGAAATTTTTTTCACATAGATCGCTCAACCTTTCAATTGGTTTTTGAAAAATTGAAATCGGTTTATTAGAACGGTCACAGTAAATATTTTAAATTAACACTCTTATTTTATTTTTAAACAATTAGATTACATTTATCAATTTGCAATTTAGTTTTTTTCAAAATTTATAATTTTAAAGTATTCGGAAAGTCCCCCTCCCCCACTTTTCGTTGTTTTTAGTTAGTAATCGCGCGTACGAGCGACAGCTTTTCCGCTGATTTATCTACGTTGCCGATAACTTATGGATATGAAAATTATTTTCAGCATAAACTCGGACAAACGAAGACACTGGATCAAAGGTTATTGCTAAATTGTTTATAAATTAACGGTAAATGCCGATAAAATTTGACCGCTTATATCTCGAGAAACAATAAACGGAATTTAACTTTTTTTTAAAAGAAGCGTCTTTCCGAGTACTTTAAAATTATAATTTTTGAAAAAAACTAAATTGCAAATTGATAAATGTAATCTAATTGTTTAAAAATAAAAAAAAGTGTTAACTTTAAAAATTTACTGTGGGCAAAAAATGTTTTGCCTTTTCCATCAATTATTGCTATTTTGCAACAACTGCAATAAATTTACACATTTTTAACGTTCAGTGTATTGTGCAAAATTCAATTCTAAAGCATTTTTCCTCTTCAATATTCTTCTAAAATGCATAGGTTCCAAGATGTAAGTAAAAAACTCAGATAAAATAGTTATTTTCTGAAATTTTTTAAACATTTTTGCAATTTTGAAAATGTTTCGGACCTCGATCTACACTTTTATTATGTGAGTTGTACTGAAGGTAATCCAGAAAAAATTTGCTCTACTGAAGCAAACTCGTAACAGCGCAACTTTTTGGCTTCGATGCTTAATAATATACAATAATAATAATAATATAAATTTTGCATAGACTTTTATTCAGTGCAGGCGCATATTTTATGTAATTTTTATTAAAAAAAAACAAATGTAAGCGCAAGTGGGAAAAGTGGGGAAAGAAGCGTTGTAACAATGGAAATACGGTTTTTTTATGTATGCCTATGATGCAAATATATTGTTTTTTGGATGAAATGTTTGTTTATCATAATAGGCCAATTAACAATGAGTGAAAGTAATTTTTTTTCAACCCCCGAAATAAAGAGGTTTTTCAAGACAACACAGACGTGCTAGAAAGTTTTTATGTAGAATTTTAACTCCACAATATTTATAAGAAACTTTTCTTTCTAGTTCTTACCCCTTTTGAGTTATCTTAAATTTGAACTTTTTTCACTCCTGAACGGGGACTAGTAAGCATGATCTAAAACAGTACCTTTGAATCAAAGGCATATGTAGCATTCTTTCCCTTGTCCCTTTTATCAAGGACATACGGTAAACAGCCTTTACTAAAGGCTAAAGGTTTTTGGATATTTTCTTCGATTTCAAATAAATATAAAAACAATTGACTATTGCATCGAAAGATATAGACCAAATTTTCGTTATTATCGAAAAACTATTGACGTACCAAAAAAAAAATCCTCATTTTTTGTACGATTTATTTCACAGTTACACGCGCTGTATCTGGTATTTCACAAAATTGCTAAAGGTAGGAATCTCGATGACTCACGCCCGATCGCCGGGTATGGAGAAGTACCATGAAATGGTACGGGCAAACGTGGCCTTTGGCGCGTTGTCACAACCAAATAAAAATTAATAGACACCGCTACTGTACCCGATGAAAATATCTAAACGGCCGCGAGTCACTTTGTTATTCAGGGCCGATATTGAAAAGCGATTTGTCACGTATCGCCTCTATATTACCTGCTCGCAGCGGTATCGTAAGAATGAAATAAGAGGAAAACGATGTGATGATGTCGGGCGCATATTTTCAATGTACGAGGATGGCAACTTGTCTGGAAAGTCTTAAACGGTACTCGACTGACATTTTTGCATTTATTCTTGACTCAATAAATTGTTCGAGAAGTAGGGACGACTGCGTAAATGAAATTGTATATACCGGATGTTTGGAAGCGAATGGGCTTATACTTCAAGGCCAGCTGGACGAAAATAAATCGATTCAATTTAGCTTTTTGTAACCTCTCGCTGTTCAAAAATCATGAGGAAAGTATATTTATAAAAATTGTCGCATTTTTCACGTTAAAATAAATTGGCCGATTTGTCCAACAAATTGCGCTTTTGGCTGAGCATGTATCTAGGACGCTGGAAATTAGGCTGTTACTCATTTTCCCATTAACATACATTCTCCGATTGAGTAACTTTAAATTAGTTTATCCTGTCTTTTTTTTTCCACGAAAATCCGTCCCCCGAATGTTTCTGCACCGCCGAAAACGTTCCGCTGTAAAACATGTGATAGAATAGACACCGCTAGTTGGAGGAATGTGGAATTTAGGTCGCGTAGACATTAGACCAGTGCAACACGCCCGCCACTTGCCAAAGCCGTCGAAAGCGAAACAC